TTGCCTTTTCCAAAGTGTTCAAAAAATGGAATCATACAGTATGTAATCTTTTAAGTCTAGCTTTTTTCACTTAGGTTAATGCATTTAAGATTCATCCATTCAACGCCATCACTTAACTCACTAACATAGATGTTAGTGTAGCATCATGATAAAATGCCTCATTATATGTAGCACTAGATATACTCTGGAATTTAAGGTCTCTCTCTCTATTTTTTATAATTAAGGACTCATTCTGCTGCTATGATTCCAGCAATCCTGAACCAGAAATTCAGGGCACAAAACTCTTCTCTGAGGATGGTCCTGGCCTTTTCAGTACCCTTGTTCAATTTTAGTCTTTTCAGATGAGATCTGTCTTAACCCACAGCCTTGGAGGATCTCTTGGGTGATCAGTAATGTTTGCCTGAAGGGTAGATAGTTGCCCCCTTAGAATTGAAATGGTTTGATCTTTATGAAGAAAAAACATTCCAGTGTGTTTTTTGATTTGAACTTGATTTGCTTTGGTTTGCTTTATCCCAACTTAAAATAGGTTGAAGTGGATAGACCCTGGCAATTTCCATTCTTCCCATTAATGTCCTTGGCCTGTAAGAGCCATAAAATATTCAACTTTGAGTTCATTAATATTATTCCTTATTTAGGTTCTGAGCTTCAGCAGAAGCCAAAAAGTCATTTTTCTTAAAAATTTAATTAAATTTTATGAATAGGTAGTACATTCACATAGTTCAGATTTGGAAAAGGCAGAAAAGTAATTGCAGTGAAAAAATCTCAATCCCACCTTTGTCCCCTGGTTCTCCTCCTTGGATCAGCTACTGTTGGCAGTTTCTCACCTATCCTTCCAGAGATAGCTATTCATATAAAAGGAAATGTGTGTCTGGGCGTGGCAGCTCACGGTTGTAATCCTAGCACTCTGGGAGGCCTAGGCGGGAGGATCGCTTGAGCTCAGGAGTTTGAGACCAGCCTGAGCAAGAAAGAGACGCCGTCTCTACTAAAAACAGAAAGAATTAGCCGGGCGTGGTGGTGCGCTTCTGTAGTCCCAGCTACTCAGAGGCTGAGGACCCCAGGAGTTTGAGGTTGCTGTCACCTAGGCTGATGCCATTGCACTCTAGCCTGGGCAACAGAGCAAGACTCTATCTCAAAAACAACCCAAAAAACCCCCCCAAAAAACTGTATGTGTTTACATAAGTGGTAGCATGCTACATACAGTACGCTGCATCTTGCTTTTTACACTTAGTCACAATTAATCTCATCCAGATAGCAAAATCTTTAGGTTTAGTACCAGAAGCCTTTATGAAAAGGAAACATTAACTGGTATTTTTTTGAGGTTTTACTTGTTTCAAAATCACTCTGTTTCCTGAGGTCTAAGTTCCGCGAAATGACTGTGAGGAGGAGGTTGTTAAAATCAACAACCTCTCCTCCTCTCCTCCCCACCAAAATCCCCCATTATCACTAACACATTTAGTCTTCGTCGTTGGGCAGGGTGAGAAATAGGTTTTAATTCTACAAATAAAGTCTATGAGCATGAATGTCAGTTAAGACAAGTACAGTTTCTTGCTTCTTCAAATCCTTCTCTGTGTGTGTTCTGTGTTCAGTGACATCGATCTTGTGGTGTTTGGGAAGTGGGAGAACCTACCCCTCTGGACCCTCGAAGAAGCTCTTCGGAAACACAAAGTTGCAGACGAGGATTCAGTGAAAGTTCTAGACAAAGCAACTGTAAGTTCTGTAGAATTTTTTGTTAAAAATCTGTAGTTACTTACGTATGA